CCATTATTCGATGGCGGTTACGTAACTCTCGTCTTTGCTCGAAACACTTCGGGTGTGGAGGTGGGCCGCCGCCGCCGCCGCCGCCGTCACCGCCGCGCCTCCACGGCCGAAGCGTTCTCGAAGCGTTCGCCTCTTCACGCCGCACGGAATTCCGGAAAAGCGTAATCGATCGTTGCCGCGCGAGCGCGCGGCCGCGCCGCGCCGCGCCGCGCCGCTCCTGGTCGCATCGCGGCCTCACGATTTATGTCTGGTCTCGCGTGCACACGACCGCGCGCCTGCACGGTGCATCGACCCATCTCTCGCTCTTACGCCTCGCGTATACGCGCGTATTGCGCGCGTGGCGAGGTGCGCCGCGAAGGATTAGCCGCCTGGCTGGCGTCCTCTTCCTTCTTCCTCCCAGAACGCGCCCGCGAGCGATAATTGCTCGGGGAAGATTAGCGGGCTGTTTATGACGGTGCTGCGGGGATCGCGGGGAGGACCGTGGATATGTTCCTCGCGTCGTCGCCGGCCGTCCAGTCGCGGAAATCGCGAGACTCGCGAGTCCACGTTAACCCTTTTCGGATAATGGAATACATAATTGATTAGCAAACTTGAGGATACGCTCGGAAGATCGAGCCGATTTATTTGAGGCTTTATCGGCGCTAATTAAAACACTGTGGAAGAAACGTAATCACAGCTTCTGCGAATCCTTTCGTTTGTTGTTCGCTCTTTTTGGATAATAGAATACATAATTGATTAGCAAACTTGGATACGCTGGAAAGATCAAGCCGATTTATTTGAGGCTTTATCGGCGCTAATTAAAACACTGTGGAAGAAACGTATTCTCAGCTTCTTCGTATCTTTTCGTTTGTTGTTCGCTCGTTTTGGATAATAGAATACAATTGATTGGCAAACTTGGATACGCTCGACAGATCGAGCCGATTTACTTGCGGCTTTATCGGCGCTAATTAAAACACTGTGAAAAAGGTATTCTCAGCCGCCTCTTATCTTTTCCGCCTCTTTCGTTTGTTGTTCGCCATGTATACGCATCTCGCAGCAAAACAGGAGAAGCCACAGCTCACAATCAGATTTGAACCCTAAGACCCGGTTTCACCAACGTCGCTTAACTTTAATCTTACAAGTTTATTTCATCCTTTGCCTCTTTCTAAAGGAACAGTGGAAAGAGACAATGGATGAATTAAGCTAAGCTTAAAGTTGGTAAAAGCAGACTTAGGAAACTTAATGTTGAACATTTCTCGATCGCTACATCTATAAGTGACGTCAAAGCTATAATAATTCGCGTTTGTCGAAAAAAGTTATACGCTAGTCGCAGAAAAATTCGCTCGCAACGCTGGCGTCGAAAGTTACTTCGCTCGCGACAGTAAATTTGCCGCTTCTTGGAATAACTCGTCGAGCAAAATCGCGTTTTGCTAGCAGAGCGCGAAATCATCGCGAGAGCCCGATCTGTTCGGTTTGCGGAATAATTTCCTGTTAATATGGGATGCTACGCGATTGTCTATTCAATCGCTCTTCGTCCCTCTCCTCTATTTACCTTATAAAAAGACAAATTGGCTAAATAAGTGAATAAAGAAACGCGCAAAATCTATCTTCTTGAACTGATCGTTTTGGATCCGTCACAAAACTCACTAGCTTTTAATTAAGAAAGAAACCAGTTTTTACTCTCCCTCAACATTCCTTGACTTTACTTCTATAACGTAATGCAGTTCCTTTCCAAAATCTGGATTTTTAAATATCTTCGATAATATATTTTTACAATAGACGGCATTGCACGAATCTATTCGGCTTTAGCGAGTTCCAACAGCCTACGGAGGGTGATATTACATTTATTATATGACACATTTTTTAAGCGTATCGATTGGCTGCGGAATAGACCGTTTTTGGAGACTCGACACTTTTCTATCCTGCAGCCGATCGAGTGGCTTGAAAAATTTATCGCGCGACAATTGTACTAGTACCCTAGGAATATATGTAATTCAAGGAGGACCAGGCAATGCAACTTGACAACGATCACGTCATTTTTAATAGATACAATTGGACAAATGAATTCATACGAGTTTAATAAATGAAATCCTTTATCCCGCTCGTATTTTAGCTTCGTCCTGAAATTTTAACATTACATCAATATTAATGCCGCGCACAAAAGTTACATCGTCGAGTAGGAAATTGCAGGATTGACACGCTGTTAGTGTTGGCTGGCGTTCGCTGGGCCATGGCTCCTGGCTATACGAGGAGAAACTGGGCCCGTCGACCGCTTTGAAGCGCGCTTATCGCTCCCGCCCGATAAGGGGACCAAAGTTTTTCGTAATCTCGCCGACCGATTTACATTCCTCCCCGATTCATCATCGGCGCCCGTGGGAGACGTAGCAAGCGCTCTCCGATTTTCCCGAGCGAGCCACGCTTTCTCTCGTTCTAATCGACGGGACGCGCCGCGAATTGGAGCGCGTGCCTTGTCGACTCGCTCCGGCCGACGATCGAGACCCCCTGCTCGCTTCGTCGAAACGGGAGATTTCGTTCTCCGGGAACAACCGGAGAAGGTTTCTCGGGTGTCCTCGGTCATCGGACGCGTTTCGCGCGAAACAGCTGAGAAGAAAGCGGACCCTTCGCCGCTAATTGCTGCATTCCCCGGACTTTTGTTTCGTCCGCACGTCACGACGACTGGTCTCGGCCGCTTCCGCGGATATTCCGCGAGTCCCAAACGTGTTTCGGGTGTGCGAATTAGTGCTCCAGGGCGACTAGCATAATGAAATCAATATTACAGATACATCGCACCGTGTCATTACTGCAATGTTACATTGTAATATATCTGAGGGAGGACATTTCAATGTCGCTTCAAGCTTGCATTGGAATGGACTCCGATCGGAATTATTTCGTTTCCCCTAGGAAACACAATAGAAATCTAGTGAGAAATGATTCGTCGATTGATGTCGAACGTCGATCGATGTCGTTTCTTCCTAGGATTTCTATTGTGTTCTCTAGGGAAAACGAAATAATTTCGATCGGAATCCATTCCGAGCATTTCCACGACAGGTACCCTGGTACCCTCTCAATTGTCGCCGTTTTTCGATTAATCGCCACCCATACAGCAAGCATCTAAAAGACGTCTTTAAGACATCTTATCTAAAAGACGACTCAAAGACGTCTTAAAGATGTCTTTTAGACATGCCTGCTGTACGGGCAATTTTCAATCGGAAGTAAAAAAGACAGGATCGAATACGACAGATCTGTCATTCTAGAAGGCATTCGCGATTCGAGGTCGCGAGGTATATCGCCCTCGTGGCGTGCCTTTCGCAAGGGAAGCTCTCGAGACGACAGTTTCCGGCGCGGCGTCTTCGTCTTCCAGCCTTTAATTAGAAGACGCCTCGACCTTCGCTCGTCGATCGAGATTCGATCCTTTACGCTGCCGCGACGCTCTCGTGGAGACGTCCAGCCGACCGTGGCACACACGACAACGTAATCGCCGCGTCTACGCCGCGGATCGAGGAGGCAGGATCGAAGCCTCGCGCGCCCGAGCTCGGTTTAAGCGCGTTCCTAGAGGATTGCTGCCACGGGCCGAGATGAACGTCCGACCAGCTCTTTCTCGTTAGGGATCCCCTAGGCAGGGATCGGCATAACCGACGCCATTTGTTTCAAACGCGGAGGCGTAACCCATGCTGCTTCAAAAGCTTCTTCTTTCTCTGCCTTTAAAAGAAAGTAGCATCGGACTAGCTCTATCCGTAGACTTGTTTTCTGTTGCTACACTGGAATGAATTAGAGTGGGACAAGTATATTTTTTCTCATTCTAGCCTACTGCACTAGTTCACCTGTGCGGCAATAGCAAACGAGCCTTTTAGCTTCTCTCTCCCTCTGTTTCCAGGTTTGAAACGGGTGGCCGGCGGTCAATAGAAAACGTAACCGATTGTGCCGATCTCTTCCCAGAGGATGCCTAATTCTCGTGACACACCCCGGTCGCTCTCCTCTCTCCCGCTTTGCATCGGAGGATGCTTCGGGGTCGACATGGGACTTCTCGCATTTCCAAATGCCCCCAAAACTCGCCGAGATCCAGTATTCTTGCTACTTGTCGCGCGACAAGTTTTTCGAGCATATTGATTGACTGCGGGAGTAGAGGACCTTTCGAAGACTCCCCAGATATAGCACGGAGGGTCTAAAAAGAATTCATCTCGAGTCCCCGAATTAGCAAATAAATTCCTCTTCCATATCTGTTTTTCTGCTACCGATTTTGAGCTTTTTTTTTTAGAAAAAAAAATCGCGCCGGAGACGAATTTCCTTGGCGTGCACTTTCAGATTGCGCTGGATGCATAAGGAATTTTATAAAGTATAGTCCTTTTTTGAATGAACAATCTGTGCTATTTTTGGAGAACTCGAGAACTTTTCTACGCTATAACCAATCAACGCTTGACAAATTTGCCGTGCGAACGGAACAGTGCCCTAAATTCCTGAGCTATCAAGTAGCCGTGTTTACTGTTCGATTCGTATAATGCTTTAATCGATTAACAATAAGACAAGGACAGGGGGGGGGGCGCGGCGAGCGGCCTGGGAGCTTTGAATAATTCAGATGCAAATAGCAAACGGAGTGTCATTATTCGTCGTGGGGGAACGAAGTCGGGTGTCTCCTCGCAAGTTGCCGAAAGAGAATTTGTATCCTTGGGTGCCGAGGATCTCTCGGCTCGGGGGAGGATCGCCATCGCGTCGTCGCGTCGATAAAACAGCGAGCAGGCAGCGGGCGAGCTGAAGAACGTTGCCGTGCCGCCACCTAGCGGGAACGGGGCGTACGTGAGAGACCGCTCGGATATTTGTTTGTCAACGGGTCCGGTTCCCTGCGACTGCACCCTGGTATACCTTCTGCACTCGGGAAAAGCACGTGATTAGAGGCGTGCAAGAACAATGGGGGAAGATGACGAGGGGAAAAAAAAAAGCTTAGCTACGGAGAACAAGCCTATTGACATCTCTCCGAGTTGACGTTACTCGCAAGGGGGAGAATTGATTCGCACAATCCTTCGCGCTCAGCGAATCGAGTTTATTTAACACTGCGAACACGCAGATACACTCACATTGAGGGAAAGAGAGGAATTAAATATAAAATCTAGACATATTATGTATGCTATTCCACGACGTCTGCGGTAAGATTTAAGAGAATGGCCAATCGATTGCGATTGGCCAACTTCTTAAATCGTGTGTCTCGATACGTTGTCCATTTCTACCGATTAATCTCGGTTTATCGCTTTAACTTCTTATCCCTTTCCAATTTTTGGAACCAGAAGAGCAAACAAGACAAACCCGCATTGGTAGAAATGAACTTGAATCTAAAGTTGACATTCACTTGGAACGGTCGAGAATGCGCGCGAACTTGCCGAGATTCCTACTCCGATTGCGTCTATGGCAATTTCATCTATTTGGTCTGGTCAATCAACTGCAATCTCGTCGAGCAAAACACGTTCGCGCGACGCCGAGAGGCTCGCCCGAGAATGGAGAGAGAAGTCGCTTCGTAAATAATTAGAGAATAAAAGTATCCATATATTATTCGTGTACATGACGACGATCGGACTGAACGTGCACTCACACTCCCTTTCTCGCCGTTGGATTAATATAAACAATAATAAAACTTTATTTGTCACAATCAGTACTATCTAGCCATGATAAGTTATATACACCATTGTTTCTTCGATCAGCTAAGACGACGCGTGGTATATAATAAATAATTTTCTTCTTGCCACCTTTAAATGCCAACAAGACGTAAAATACAACGTGACTTACACCGACGGAACTTTAAATTATGTAGGAAGTGCATGCAAACATTTCACGTGTATGTAGAAATATATATATATATATATAATGTATATATATGTATATAACGTAACTCTAATATTAACCTTTATTCATAAACTTATTCTCTCAGGTATAACTATTTACCAAAACCATATTTTACTGGTGAATAAACCGTTGGACAGCATTAACAAATCGATGCGCCGCGGCGCCGAGGGACGACGCCGCGCGGAAGTACGCGAATGTGACGTCCTATTGTGCCCTTGCAACGAAATTTTACAATGCCAAAATGCACGACACGAGTTCCGTTAAGTTTATTCGTGTGTAAAGTATTAGTAACGCACGCGTCACGCTCGGCTTTCGGTTTCAGCAATTAAAACTTTTACACGGAAAAAAAACAAAATGCAATCTGCCCGATCGAGAGACCATCGAATCGGTGTGTACCCCCTTTCTCCATCATTTTCAATCACACGTCCGATACGATTTGCGTATTAAAAGTGTAGATGTAAACTTCGCGTTTAGCGCATTGGCGGAATCAACGAGCGCCAATCGGATCGTTTGCAGGCGCGTTGTTCCAGAGCGTACAGTCTCTCCCGCGGTCGCACGGGCGCGAGTGGACTCGCACTCCACACGGTAGACTTAAAACTAAACTCCAAATGCATGCTCGGTTTCATCGTAACGCCCGCGTGCTCGTCGTGGGTACGCAGAAATACGACCGGCCGTACCGTCGCCGTGCGCGTCGCACAGCGGTATACACAGGTAATTGAACGGGAATCTACAATTGGAATATATACGTTGTTGTAGCCGCCACCGATCCGGCTCTCGGCGTTTTGCTGTAGAAAATCTTTTGTACATATGTAAAAACATTAAAAGACACGGGCGGCCCGCGACGCCGACCGGTGTGAGTCGGGCGCCCAAACAAAGTCTTCATTGTGTGTGAACCGCCGGGCTCTTCTCCGGCAATGTTATTTTATGTAACTTCCAACGCGATTAAAAGCCGGCGTTTCGCCTCTTTATCCGATTATCGTTACGAAGTAATAAAACATTCGGCCGAACGTCCAGAAATATATTCATGAGCGACAATTTCAAGGATTTCTGTAACAACAGCGTGTGCGTGGCGGTCTCCTGAAACGGTTCTGCCTCCAATGTAAGACCATGCGGTCATTCGCTCTTCGACTTCCCGGCGCTCTCGCTATGATCCGCTTTTTTCTCTGTGTCGCAGCTCTCCGACTTGGCCTCGGTCTCCTGCTGGCTACCCTCGTCCTCCTCGTCCGAGTAGTTTGTCGGTGCCTCGCCGGGCTTCAGCAACTTCCCCACGTAATCGTATCTCTCTGCAATAAAAGAGGAATAGGAACAGGCGTGTTTAAGCGACCCTTCTTGGACAATTCGCGCGTCTTGATATTTATTTAAAATTACCACATTGCAGTCAAAGGCTAAGGCGGATGTGTGCGGCAAAGAAATGCCTTGAACCATGCTCCCGTGCATTAATTATTCATGAGACTCGGGGCTTCTGTGCGTTAACTTAGAAATAGGACTTGTTATCGCACGCCGGCGCGAGGAATGCCACACGTTCGAGGAGAACATCGTGTTTGGGCAGAGTTTAAAAATCCATCTGGTCTGTATCTTATCGGCGAGACGCTGCGTCCTTTCGCCGGGACGCCCGACGCGGCGTAGAGGCAGCGTCTCGAGGGAAACGCTCTGAACGTTATCGTCGCGATAAGAAACGCCTCCCGACCGTTTCTTATGCAAATTACATTAGCGTGGCCCGCTTTATCATAATCTCCCTTTCTCGTCCGTTGGGAGAATCGCGCGCGGAGCAATTGGAGCCTCACCTTTGAATTGCTCTTCCCACTCCTTGATGGAATTCATCTCCGTGGTGTTCAGGTCGCTCAGATCGTCGTACTTGTCCGTCGCGGCGTCCACGGCGAACCTCGCGAGCGCCCTGCTGGCATCCCGGCCGCCGAACGCCTCGTAGGGCCCACCTGTGCAACAGGTACATCAGTCATGAGGTTCTCAGGGGGGGAGGGGGGGGATCTTTGCGTCGAGTTAAAGAGAAGCGAGAGAGGACCGGAGCGTTTCTTCGTACGAGCTGACTCAGCCGCGATCGTCG